ATTTACTGACTGAACCGATGTGGTGGCTTGTTAAATGCATTCTGTTGTTAATACATTCTCACTGCATCTTTCCACCAGAATAAGGAAGATTTATTTTTACATAAATTCCTTTACAGACTGCTTTGGGATGAGTGTAAAAGTACACTGCACTAAATTTTCACTGCCTATTATTTTAACTTGCTTAAGATCTCAATTTCAAGCTCAGCATGTTCAACTGTCATTAAACACTTGACAACAGTTTTTTTTTCATCTCAGCAATATGCCTGCCATGGACAAAGTCCAATAACTTGGCATCTCCTACTGTCCTGCTTCTGTGAATGCCAGAGGGTGGCAATTTATTTCTGGTTTCCCAGTTCCATTTGAACATTTGCTGGTATTTGCAGGCTATGTACTAAGAATGGAAAGAAAGTTCAACCTGACTGCTTTAGCCTTGAATGTTTGATCAGGTTTTCAGATTAAGGAATTGTTTTTATGGGTGAGGAAACTGTTGATAAGTCATGCAAACGTCTCATCCTGTTGGCAATGCTGACATTCTGACTGATTGTCAACCTAACTTCTCAGTTCTGCCTGATAAAGATCTGTGATCACCAGTTTCAAGGTGATTTTTTGGTGTGACTGTTGCTGTGTTCACACAATGCTTTGTGCAGGGCCAGGAGAGCAGTAACACAGTGGCGATGTGACTGGGCTTGTAGCCAGAAGCACACATTAATGCTGATATGGGACGAAATCTTAATCTTCAAATGGAGGCTGGAACTGGGGTGCAGAACGCTGCACATAATTATTTTTCCTCCTGCCTTTCTGACCCAGTGCCATTTCTATGAGGCCTTATTACAGATTGGGAAGACCATATGATGCCAAATGTACATGCAATTATCCAAGATAGGGGGGTCACCACCTTTGTGAGAACCACAAGGAAATTGTATTTCCTCCAGCACAACATTTTCAGGCGGTAATGTAGGATTTTGAAAGCTCTGAAACAAAAACGGTCTCCATAGAGAGGTCATGATTAAAGGAGGGAGGGGGAGGGATGTCTGAGCTGTTTTAGCCTTTGGCTCCAATGCCAATGGGAAGCCCACATTGCCTCTTTTACAGAGGGATCACTGCATCTCAGGTACCCAACTGGACATCAGTGGGCCTTCCCTGCCATCAAGGACCCACAGGGATGAAACAGCCACCTATCCAAAGCTGCCAGTCAATCAGAAGCAGGCAGCTCTATGGGACATAAGGCCAGATGTTACAACATTCACTCAAGGTATGGGGATCATCGCTGAATTCCGGGCCATAGGCAGCAGGGGGCCGGATATGGGGTGGGGATCATGGGGGTAAGGAGGTCAGTATCAAGGGCAAGGAGTGGGGGTGGCTTTTCGGCTCTCAGTGTGCCATCCTTTCTGAATGCTGGGTTGGTTGATCAGGTAGTGAGAGCCTTTCAATAACAAACCCACCTCAGAAACTCACAGGCAAATCCCTACCAGTTTGCTTGCTCTGCACCCCACATGACAAGCCTCCCCACTCCCGCCCCCCCCAACCTCTGATGGTTTAATAGCAGTGCTGGCAGAATGGGGAACTTAAATGGTCATTAATTGCCCACTCATTGGCTGCAATGTTGGGCGAAGCAGGGAAGACTGTCCATAGGTCATAGGTTTAATCAGATGGAGATAGGATGCCAGTGGGATCCCACCTCCCATTCCACAACCCAATTAAATAGTCCCGACACCAATCTTGCCATGGAGGGGGGCATTCAATTCTTCTTGAGGAGTTAAGGACGTTCTGACAGGCAAGTGTAAAATGCTTTGACAACTTCAAGTATCACTACTTGTCACTTAGTGTAATGCAGCTTTATATTTAATACAGCGCATCAAAAAGGTAAGTTGAATCTCACATTGAACAGCATTGTGCAATTGTTGTCATGCATTACAGGCGAAGGTGTACAATGCAGGCTGTAAGTGACTCATGGCCTGTATTATGAGTAACACTTGCACTTCATGTCCAGATAATATAATGTCAAAATAGTTCTGTTGCTCTGTCACAATCCTTCGAGATTGATTAGAGTGCTGCTTTAATCACAGAGAGTGCTCCAATGGTTTTCTTACCAATTATTCAGTTTCAAAAATCAGATTGTCCTCTCTGCTTCAAGATGTTCACTGAACATGCCCGAGTTAAAAATCCTCATTGATTCATAATGCAGCTATTTGCAGAGAAAGATTTTTTTTTAAATTGAACACTATAATTCTTTTCCACATCCAATTGGTCAACAGAATGACACTAATTGATAGCTCTTTCAAAGACCTGACATTGACACAATGGGCTGATTGGCTCATATAGGTTCAACACAGAGGGAGGCCAATTTTATTCAGACCCATGCCAGGCAAAGCTGAGTCTGAGTCCTGTTTAATCAGACCAATTCTCTCAAGAATTTGAAGGATTTTAGTCCAGCCTTCGCAATGTAATTGACCCTCAGTAAACCATGGGTTTCACAACTTAATCAGGTCATAGTGCCCTGGCTGACAACCAAAAGCAGATACTTCCTTTTCCAACTTGTTTTCTCTTCAGCAACTATTTTAAGACTGCAAGTATTGAACAGGACTACAAATTATTCCAGGATACAATGCCAGCTTTCCTCAATTGCTCTAAATAACTCTTGGAGTAGAAGTTAGATAAGAGGAATAGCCAGCACAAAATCGATGCTGGTCTGTGAACAGGAGTGTTGGATTACATTATATAGTGAGTAAATCATTGATAATACAACTCTTTTTAATGCAAGCTTTTTCTAATGTCTTCTAATACATTTCATCATTATGACATTGCCTTCCATCTCTTTCACAGATTAAGGTTCTCAAACTGTGCACCAATTAGATAAGCAACAGCATTTTACATTTATCTGGCTCCCTCTTTGTTCTCTCCTCCGTTGACCAGGTAGTTTAGATGAGGGCTTCTCTGCTTATCACAGTGAATAGCAAAGATGCCATTGCACTATTTAAAGGCTTAGGGGAGGTGATGGCCTAGTGGTATTATTTCTAGACTATTAATCAAGAGACCTAGTTAGTCTGGGGACCCAGGCTCAAATCCTGCCATGACGAATCATGGAATTTGAATTTAATAAACATCTGGAATTAAGAGTCTAATGATGACCATGATTGATTGTCAGCGAAATACATTCTGGTTCACTAATGTCCTTTAGAGATTAGGAGTTCAAGCCTATATTCTCTGGAGTTTACTCGAATGAGAAGAGATCTAATTGAGATGTTAGAAGGTATTGATAAAGTAGATGTAGAAAGGATATTTCTTTATGTGGGGCAATCTAGAATGAGATGTTCTAGTTTTAGGATAAGGCATAGCAGATTGAAACCAGATGAGGAGAAATGACTTCTCTCAAAGGGTCATAAATCTGTGGAATTTACTACCCCAGTCTGTGGTAGATCCTGGGATATTGAGTAAATTTAAGGAGGAGATTGACAGACTTTTACTTAGTAATGGGTTAAAGGGCTATGGAGAGAGGGTAGGAAAGTGGAGTTGAGACTTAGATGAGATCAGCCATGATCGTATCAAATGGTGGAGCAGAGTTGTGGGATGAACTGTCTGCTCCAGCTCTGAGTTCTTGTGTTCTTTAGGAAAGAAAACTGCCATCTTTACCTGGTCTTGCCTCTATGTGACTCCCAGATCCACAGAAGTGTGAATGTCTCTTAGTGGTTCTCCAGGCATTTAGGGATGGGCTTTAAATACTGGCCTTGTCAGAGATGCCTAGATCCTGTAAATGAATAAAATGAGCAGGGAGCTCTCTATGTCCTCCAGACTGTTTCTCCCTCAGTCTGTATTCCTCCCAAACAACATTGTAGATGTACCTGCACCAGATGGACTGCAGTGGTTCAAGTAAGGGGCCCACCACTATCCACAAAGCCAATTAGGGATGGCCAACTGATACAAAAGTCACCAAAAACATCAACAGCCCATGAACAAATTAAACTGAGAAATAACTAGAATCACTGACTATCCAACTCATTGTCTCTATTGTAATTTGATAGGCACATAGCTAGAAAATCTGATGCAGAGTTTTTTTTAAATCTCAGTTTAATATATAGACAGGTATATGATTGCACTGTAGGTATTTTGCAGCTGTCTATTAACACTGCAAATGACCAGGTTAGTTAAAATACAGTATGACTGCTTGAAAAGAATGAAGATTTTTCTGTACAAGGTTCCCCGATGAGTAAACTTCCTTTCCAAATTTAGTGTCATTGAGGTTCAGTTTTCATAAACAGCAAAGCAGACCTTAAGAAGTGGAATAAATACTTGAAGTAGAATGGGGGTGGGTGGGAGGGAATGGCAGGACAGTAGGAAACCAAGAGGGGAGTGAGATTACAACCTCACTGGAGTCAGCGATGGACCAAATGGCCTAATTTCTCCAGTGGAGGTCAGTCAGTTCTGTTCAAGGAATATTTCTGCCTCAAATACCTAAGTACTCTCTTTTTTTAAACAAAAAGTAATTTTTTGCCTGACCACTTTGAGAAGAGGTTGAGGAAGAGCTGTGTGAGTTTCATTATTTAAAAAAAAAATAGAATGGAGCTTTCTTTGGTGTAAAAAAATTCTCACGGAGTCTGTGTACTCCTCTAGAGGTCGCGTTTCCCAATCACTTGGGTTAAATTCTGGTTTTGGCTGCAACGAATTCATTCTCAATGAAGAATAATGCAATGTAAAAGAACAATCGCAAACCGGGGGTGGGAGCGCGATTTGCGCAAAGTAATCGAACATATTTACAGGAACTGAGTCCCAGAATTAACCCACATTCTTCTCTGTGCCTCATCACTTCCCCCACCCTTTCCCCTGACCACCAGCACCACAGACTGTGTCTGCGTCCTCTTGCTGGGACGGGATGATTGTGTGAGTGAGTGAGGGACACACAAACAGACAGATAGCAGCAGTATCAGCCCGCTGCTCCCTCTCTTTCCAGTCTATCTCCAGCACAGGGAGGGAGAGGCACATCAAAGCCAATGGTAATGACTTACCTGGACAATGCACAACTCTCTAATCCGCCTGAAAGCAACACCGCATCGTTAGATCTGGAACAACAGGCGGTCGAATGCCGAAAGCAACAGGCTCTTTGCTTTAGAAAGAGAGAAAAAAATTACAGATGTATATAATCTTGATGCCAGTTTGCTTTTTTTTGCTCTCCCCAGTCCTTCCATTGATAGCAAGGGTCTTCTTCATACACAATTATTCAGTCTGCTTCGAAGAAGGGTTCCTTCTTCAAGTATCTCCGTTCACTTTGTTTTATCCCCTTCCTCAAAATCTCCACCAAGAGGAACTACGTGTTGTTTGCTGCAGATTTGTCAATCCAATGCTTCACTTGACGTTGTGGAGTTCTTCGTGCGGATTGCTTAGAGTGTCTTGTTTTTTTTTCTCTCTCTCCTTGGGTGATGTTTGCCTCCCGCAGTCTGTCTCTGCTCCTGTGTGTGTGTGTGTGTATGTGTGAGAATCCGATCTCACCCTCTCTTCCCTCCCACCCCCCAAACCAAAACTGCTACAAACGCTGGAAGATCAAGAATCTCTCTCTATCTCTGTGTACCTCCTGCTTACACCAGGGAGCATCAACAGGGAATCACCAATATCTGGGACAGTCCAGTCATATTATACACTCGCAGCCCTCGCCCTCTTAAAGGAGCTCTTAATACACACGGGGACCGGCCATTTATCGAATAGCAGAAACGAGAGAAGGTCTGTATTTCCCTTCACCAATACTGAACCAACAGCTTTAAAACATGCAAATACATTCACACGTTCGACATTTACAAAAGGAAAACTATTCTTCCATTTAACGCTTCCAAAGAAAACACTTCTGTTTATATCAGGATTTTATGGTGTCACTCTATCTGAAAGTGTCTCATAGCCAATTAATCCCTGTTTTCGATTTGCAATGAACCATTGAATCTCACAGTACAAGAGAAGTCCATTTATCAAATCTTTCTGTTTTAAAGCTAAAATCGGTCCCTTTTTAAGATGAACTCAACGGTCTGATTTAGGGCGAAAAATATTGAACATTATAAATAACAACTCAATTTTTTTAGGGGGGAGCCATAGGAACAGGAATAGACCATTCAGCCCCTCTCGCCTGCTTCACTGTTCAGTGAGAGCATTGCTGATCTGTGCCTCGACTATATTTGCATATTTTTATTCTTGTCCATTTACAGACTTTTTTTAAATGAGGTACCAATCCCAGTCTTGAAAATTTCAATTGATCCAGCATCTACAGCCATTTGGGAGAGGGAAATCCATGGCCCATGATGTTGAATAAATGCTTTCTGAGGTTCAAGCACTTGCCTGTATGGCTGGCCTGCCTGCACCTTTAGCCTTACAAATGTCAGGGAATATAACCATAGTTTGTATAATTTCTCCTCACAATTTAAGCCTTGGAAAGAAATAGCAAAACAACGCAGCCTTCAGCAGTCATTTTACATTCTCAGCATGTTCCAAAGTGCTTCACAGGTAACGAAGCACTTTTGAAGTGTCGTCACCCTTGTTTTGTAAAAAAACATGACAGCCACAATATTTTCCTGCATCCAAAAATTCTCACATAACTATCCAGGTATACAGTCTGTTCTTGGGGCATTGCTGTCATCTATAAATGCTCAAGACTTAAATTCATCAATCCATTTGTAGCTATGCTGATGCAGTGATTAGATACAAACTGTGTCACTTAATTATTCTAGCCAAGTCTCTCATGTGGCAATAGATTGAAGTTATGCAAAATCTATTCAAACGATCAGATTGCTTGCTACACTTGTTTATGAAAAATGGAATTAACACAGCATTTCTCAAAATGCAAAACAGACAATTCTTTTGGTTTAAAGTGCTTAAAACTGTGAATCAAATAATGAGCCACTTAGACTCTTGCAGGTGAGGAAACTTTATCTGACCAACAAATCAGCCTTTTTTCTAAGAGGATATTGTTGCATTGGAATGTAAAGTGCATCACTATGGTTTTGATATAGTGTGCTGGTTTAATGCAGTGCATTATAATGAGATTGTGTGGCACTCAAATTGCCACCTCAATATTTTTTGAATGCAGCATATCTTTGGGGAGGGAAATGTCAGTTCTCACACAATGGGCTGGATTTAATGACCTCCTTTGGCACAAGATGCCAGGCTGGGGCATTTGGGTGCCATGGTGTCGTTCCTGGTGACTACCCACTCATTGTCCCTTGTTGCTCCTGTCACAAGTTTATCTGCAGCGGGGAAGGAGTTGGGATATCCTCCTGTCCATGAGCCAACTGAGGCCCTTCAATCACCAATTAATGTCCACACAAGGACCTCCTTCTGCCCCTACTGAGATCTTGGCCATGACAGAGGATGCCAGGTTTCACTGAGCAGCCAAAGGTAGGATAGTGCTAACTTTATCCTCACCATGACACATCCCACCAACAATGGTAACTGCATTACTTTGGCACCAGCTCACTTTGAAAGAAGTTGGAACAGAGCTGCCAAAGACAGAATGGGAATAAGTTACTTGCAATATTGACCACAACAAGTGTAGGTAATTAACTGAGTGCATCTTAAATTTTCCTTGACTGAAATCTTGTAGCCATCACCCTCTCTTGCACAATTAGGCTTTGTTCTATTAATGTTTGATGCTAATTCACCAATGGTGAAGTGGTTTTAATGCTGTTAATGACTATGCATAGGACATTATCTTGCAACTATGCAACAGACCATCAGTTGGCATGGCATGGTATTGTAATGGAAAGAACAAAAAATTTTATTCCAGAGTGCCCTACACAACCTCCGGATGTCCCAAAGTGTTTTACACCAATTAATTGCTTTTGAAGCCCAGACACTGTTGTAATTTAGGAAATAGTGATATTCATTGAAGGGAGTCATTGGGAAAAGTTAATGTGTTGGCAATCAGCAGAGGGCAGACAAACAATCAATCAATTAACTGCACATTCCTTGACTGTAGCAGACTCAGAAACCAATAACACGCAAAGTACATTATAGACTTTCACACAATAGTTTTAAAGACATAAAAACTGAAAGAACTGCGGATGCTGTAAATCCGGAACAAAAACAAAGTTGCTGGAAAAGCTCAGCAGGTCTGGCAGCATCTGTGAAGGAAAAAACAGAGTTCACGTTTCGGGTCTGGTGACCCTTCCTCAGAACTTCGGTTTGTTTTGTTTTAAAGACATACCTGGCACATAGGAAAATGGCTATTGTTGTTGGAGGTCAGTCATCTCAGCTTCAGGACATCTCTGCAGGAGTTCCTCAGGGCAGTGTCCTAGGCCCAACCATCTTCAGCTGCTTCACCAATGACCTTCCCTCCATCATAAGGTCAGAAGTGGGGACGTTCACTGATGACTGCACAATGTTCAGCACCATTCACAACTCCTCAGGTAGTGAAGTGGTGCATGTTCAAATGCAATTAGATCTGGACAATATCCAGGCTTGGGCTGATAAGTGGCAAGTAACATTCACATCTGGCACAAATGCCAGACAATAACCATCTCCAATAAGGGACAATTTAACCACCATTAGTCAACATTGAATTGGTGTCACCATCACTGAATCTCCTACTATCAACATCCTGGGGGTAATCATTAATAACAAACTTACACGCACTCACCACATTAACACAGTGGCTACAAGAGCAGGCCAGCAGCTGGGAATACTGCAGTGAGTAACTCACCACCTGACTCCTCAAAGCCTGTCCACCATCTACAAGGCGGAGGTCAGGATTGTGATGGAATACTCTCCACCTGCCTGGATAGGTGTCACTCCAATAACACTCAAGAAGCTTGACACCATCCAGAGCAAAGCAGCCCGCTTGACTGACAACACATCCACAAGCATCCACTCCCTCCACCACTGATGTTCAGTAGCAGCAGTGTGTATGATCTTTAAGATGCACTGCAGAAATTCACCAAAGATCCATAGACAGCACCTACTAAACCCACGACCACTTCCATCTGAAAGGATAAGGGCAGCAGATGCTTGGGAACACCACCACCTCCAAGTTCCCCTCCAAGACACTTACCATCCTGACTTGGAAATATATCACCATTCCTTCACTGCCGCTGGGTCAAAATCCTGGAATTCCCTCCCTAATGGCATTGTGAGTCAAACTACAGCACATGGATTGCAGTGGTTCAAGAAGGCAGCTCACCACCACCTTCTCAAAGGCAGCTCAGGATGTGCCAACAGCGACGCTGACATCCCAGAACTGAATTTTTAAAAAATAAATGCAAACTATTAATAGGGCCGCTTCAGATCATGTAGCCATCACCATTTCTCGATCAAATACCAAAGTAAATATGGGCATTCAGTTTGTTTAAGAATGGAACAATACAAAAGATCTATAGACTTTTTGGCCAGCCTGTGTCTCTGCCTCATCCTGGCCTAAAGGAAGCTTCAAATCTCAATTGGTAGCAGATGGAAATGAATGGCTCCTGTCATTGTCCAGTTACATCCTGATGACTGTCTGAATCTCAGATGTTGGAATCAATATAAACAGCACCCATTTATTTGGAAAAAGGGCTTTGAACATATAAAAGTCACATCATGAGGGAGCCATGCTGTTATCTGCTTTCAAAATCAGTTTAAAGCTGCTTGCCTATAGTTCCATCAAAGCTAATTCAAGCAACCAAGGCGATTAACAGCAATAATTTGTAAGCGGTAGATGCTAACAGAGAGATGGACCTCACCAAACTGTTCTAACTTGAAGCTCACCTGAGAAACAACCTTCTGGAAAGTGAATGGCGTGAAATCTCACAGCCTAATGAGATTCCTTCAAATTAACTTTAAAGACCGTTACTTTAATATTAAAGTATCAACTTAATTCAAGAAACAAGGCCAGACACACAGGAGACCTGAGATCATAAATTGGAGACTAAGTCAACTTTAACTTATACATGTGTTTCATCTTTACCAGTGACAAATCTTTGTGTTTGTGTGAATACACATGTGTGAATGAGTGGGTGAAACATTTTGTTTCAAATTCTGTGTGTGAGAGAATAATTAACCTACTTTATTTCAAAACTCTCAAAATCTTACTGCTTGATTATTTATGCGTACTGAAGGTTAGAAAATTCATGTCTATTTTATACAAACAAGCTGATCACAGGGAATAAGGAAGAATATAAGTTCTGTCTGTGGCAATGACCACTTTTGTTCTGTTTGTTATGAACATGGTTTTTCACAGAATAAATCCTGTCATGACATATGGCAATTTTACATTGCTGTTTTCTGTTCTTATGCATATTTGGCTAACCATACAGAAATTTCCATTGTGGTGTTCATCTGTTGACAATAAAAATCTTGATTATACAAAAAGCAGCCTCTTCCATTGAGATTTCATATCAAGGGTTCACAGGTGATTGCTGAAACTGAACTCTTATCAGAACTCAATCGTCAGTTTCAGTAGCATAGCTGCATGCTAGTAAGGAATCTCCATCTGTGGACTGAACCCTTTGGACTAC